AACTTCAGTGGATTCTCATCAGACATTAGTGTTTTATAAAAACATTATATAACTTCGTGGAAAACTCGGCGTGTGTTGCTGGTCAATAATGAAGGACAAAGCTAGCTAGCTCTCTGTTAAGTGAATTATACCGACATCAACTCGTAAATAACTCGCTCATCGTGAACCCTTGATAACACATCGAAGAAGTTTCACACTAGAAAAAAAGACTATATTGCTTGTAAGTTTGTGAGATTTTTGTCTATAAATCATTGTTTGTAATAACTGTTATTGTAAGTTGTATTGTTGTGTGTGTATATTAAAACATATTTGTGTTAAAAGAAAACTGTATATATCAATCTTGTTGGCGAATATCATAAACTGACTATATATCGGATTTTACTTAACTGCTAAATCCAGAGTACAATTTAACTACTAAATTTAAAGTATCATTTAGTTCGGTTTCAGAACTTTCAAAATTGTAATACGTAACAGCACTCAGGGAGAATCAAAAATACCTAGGCAAACTAAAGGATTGGCTCAAAAACTCTAGGATAATACACTGATAACACAATTAAGGTTAAGAAAAAAATAAAAAGAAGGAAATACGGTGCTCCCAATCCTTGTTGGAGCTATAAATATCATATAAAGAACAAGCATCTTGTACCCACTGAGGCATCATTAGCAGAGACAACAAACAATATAAATAAAAATTTAATGAATATACTTGGATTTGTCTAAATGCTGGCTTGTAAGATATCCTCTAAGGATACTGTAATCAGGATGCCACAGACATTGCTGAATGAGATGTCACTCAAAATTCACAAGAAGGTTTGGTTTGTTTTGAATTTCACACAAAACTACACGAGGGCTATCTTCACTAGCCATCCCTAATCTAGCAGTGTAAGACTAGAGGGAAGGTAGCTAGTCATCACCACCCACCGCCAACTCTTGGGCTACTCTTTTATCAACGAATAGTGGGATTGACTGTCACATTGTAATGCCCCCACGGCTGAAAGGGCGAGCATGTATGATGTGACGGGGATTCGAACCTGCTAACCTCAGATTGCGAGTCGAGCACCCTAACCACCTGGCCATGCCGGCCCTTCACAAGAAGGAAAAATCAATTTGTTGAGGAGTTGGAGATAGTAAAGAGAACAGTGTGTTTAATACACAAACTTTAGAAGGTAACCCAATGTGATTTATATTTGACCAGGACAGTGTGTCAAAAATAATGGTCTAACATTCAAGCCACTCTAGAAGAGAATTCAGCATCTTGGACAAAGGATCTAATAACAGCAAGTCATGAAGCTGTAGACATCAAATCCTAGTTTGATAAGTGGACATCTGAGGTTGAAGAACATGTTTTCAAGACTGTAATAGAACTGGTTTCCTGTGAGAAAGTTGACCTAGGAGGGAAAACCATGACTTAGCTGGCCAATGAAAAGTGATGAGAAGAACCTGACATTTTGCCTGAAGAACAAGGTGGACAGGAGGTTACTTGTAATGAAAAAAGATTTTCCCATGATTGCTTAGGGTGTCCACAGCTGGAGATCTGGACCTGGAGACTAGTACAGAGGAAGAAGATGGTTGTCTGATATTATGAAGACATCAATCATCAAATAACCCAGATATTCACATAGCTGTTGAAAGAAAAAAAAAGTGGAGAATAGCCAACAATTTCAAGAAAGAGAGTCCGACAAATCCCTTCTCCATCCCTATGTGCGAGTAATAAAAAAGAAAAACCGACTTTCCAGCCACATGCCCATGCAGGTTGCTGCTACTTGCAGACTCTTTGAAAAATTCCTGTATTGAACTTTTCGCATCATTGGCCATTAGAGCTAGATGCTTAATATTTCACATACTTTATGTGGCTCTTGAGCAAGAACTCTCCCATACTTCTGATGTCAAAATCTTTCATTCATTTTTTTATACTGCAGATGGTTTATATTCCTTAAGTCCAGCAACAGCCAGCCAACATACAAATTTATATCGTGCTATGCAGGATTGAATGTTCATTTTTCTGACATTTACTTTGTATTTTTTACAATGTAAGAGTAATGCAGAAAAAACAAAAAACAATGGTTATCAGGTTAAAAAATATATCACTATCACACAATCAAATTCATCCTATGTAATATTCAGAAACTTTGTAGTGTTCTTTTACAGATGGGTTTATTATGGAAAAGCAGGGGTGTTTATAACAGTCTTTCATTTCAGAAGTATTTATCATCACACTGAATATGCTTTCATACAATTTTTTCATTATATTTTACACGAATAAACTGCATATGTAGATCAATGAGGAAATTTGTGATTATAGCTGTTAATAGTACCAGTTGCTGGGACAATACAATCATCGCAGTGAACACCTATACTGTAGGAAATACAATAATATATTCTATTTTCTCTAGAAACTGATCCAATAGAGATTATGCATACACATGAAGTTAATAACTGAAGTCAAACTTATCTCCATAAATTTAGGATGGAAATAACCACTAATAATTTTGTTCAAAATTATTGGTTTTTTTTTCAAGTAGTTTTCTCAACAAATCATTGATTTTCCAGGTTTAAAACTACTTAAGTTTCATTAAATAAAATTCAAATATTTTACAGCACTTCAAGAACCTGTGTGAGCCCTGGTAAATAAGGTCTCCAAAGAAGTTGTAAAAGTTCCTATATAAGTAGACATATTAGCAGCAGTAATTAACACTGACTTCAAAATTCACAGTGAATGAAGCCAACAGCGTGACTGATAACAAGAAAATCTAGCTTATGGTGGGAAAGCAAGATTTATGTACATTCTCCTGACACGAGGAAGGTGGGAGAAATCTGTATAAACTGATGTTTGCTCTGCATTGCATCAAGGACACTCAGAATCTGAAGTCATATGGTTGTTAACAGCACAAAAGCAACTCAATAAGAAAAAGCTTAGTATTTCAGAGGTAAGTTTACTTTATTTAAATTGCCTTTTCTAATTTAGCAAAATGCTAATCATAAAATTTTAGGGATATTAAATTGATAACAATATAGTGTTTCTAAAATAAAAGAATTTCATGAACTAAATTGATTGAAGTTTATCATCATATTATATTTGCAACAGATCCAATTCAATTTGTTCATTTGTTTTGTTGAATATCATGGAAAGCTACTCAGCTATTTAAGGATTATCTGCTTTAACTGTCCCTAATATTGCAGGGTTCGTA